CGGGTTCATCAACTTTCAAATGATCGAGAGTCGATGAAAGATAATCTGGAAGTGATCCTCCAATTATCATTATTGGTCAACAAGGTATTGATGCGTTTAAAGATCTACTGTATGGTGTTCCACATATCGTTAATAACTATGTGTATTGCTACCATCTTACACATATCACATGGTAGTATCGATTCTATTTTGAAGTAATATCTTGGCGTGAAGAAGATATCATCGAAATAAGTAAACCCCCGACACATTAGAAGACCCCCTTTGATGAACGAAGCAAAAGACATATTAGAAGACTCCCTCACAAAATCGGTTTTTTTAAAATAATTTCTAGAACCTAGTGGCATTTTTTAGAATTTAAGTCCATAATGATGTCTAAGTTCAGTATGAACAATATTTTACTTTCGTCATGATAACGATCTGTTAGTTCCAAGTTTAAAAAATCGTGAGAAACAGCTAATAGGAAACAACTGTTTATAAAATAATATGTTTTTTTTTGAAAACATTTTGTGAAGTCATTTTAGTCTTTCTTTGCAGCTTATTCTGGGAAAATTCATTAATTTCTATATGTAGAAAAACATTTCTATGACCGTACGATCTAGTGGACCGAGTTCACATTCGCGGGTGTGGCACATGAAGGGATCTTTGTAAAATAGTACCATATTTGATAAAATTTCATTTTGTATTAATTGAAAAGCTTGTTCGTCTATAAATTTTTTCTAGAGGTTCAGAAATGCCTTTATTCCAAAACAGATTTTTATAGTTGAAGAAAACCTAACTTCACATATACACTTCGAAGTTCGTTTGATGAGCACTTATGAGTCTAAGAACGAATTTCTTTTTTCAATACGACTCAAAGTCATTTTACGAAACAAACATAAAAGAAAGCGCAGAATGTGTATTCAACTGCAGTTTTTCTACAAACTGTTTCTTCAGAAGACAATCATATTCATCGGAGTTAACTTGTGAACAATAATTATGTTAGTGGTAGATTTCACCGGAACTAATTCCATCTGTACTAATCAAACCTCAACATAAACACTTGCCTTAAGTAAATTTGATAAAAAGAAGGTCATTTTCTTTTTCCAGTTATTTAGAAGGTAAAATGTTGCCAGTGACAACAGAATTCTTTAGAAAAAAGAATCCTATTAAATATTGTACCAAGATGTTATGGAGTATTGCCTGTACTGTTCTTAGAACACTTCTTACCAACGATGACCTTCTTCCTTATCACTGTGTAATATATGATTCTTTCTCATTCTACTCACGAAGAATAAATAAAATAAACTCGTTTATTAACGGTGTATTGAACAAAAATTCACTGGAACCAAAATTTGTTGACGATACTGTCAAAAAATAGCTTTTTCTGAGAGACACATTAGAAGACCCCCTTTGTAACTCATGAACGATAGGACAAAATAGAAGATCCCGGGTCTTCTAATGTGTTGGGTGCTTTAGGTCATGAGCTCATTCAAGAACAACGACAGCCGTCAGCTGATGCTTGTGTTCAAAATTTACAGAAATTTGAGAATGATCCGTGGAAACTGTACGATATAGTCACGGAAGGTGAAACTTTAATATAGCATTGTCAAATCAAATATCAAGAATAATCTGAAGCATGGCTATCAAAAGAAAAAAGTTTTCTAACAGTAATAGGGATACAAGAATTCCAGTTCCCATTTCAACAAATTCCAGCCAAATTCAACCAATATCATAAACTAGAATCAGTCAGAAAAAGGAATTGTTGCATTTCTAAACAACAATGTAAGATGTCGATCCGAAGAGTAAAAATGGTTGTTATCTTGTTTTATGACTGATACACCGTTATTTTTTCATCAGTTGCCTTCTGAAATATCAATTAATTCCATTCATTATTAAGATGAATATTTAAAAGGAATAGTCAAAAATTCATGCAAAACCATTATCAATAACACATGACATTATACGATATCATGATAATACAAAAACTACATATGAAAGATACTGTACTTGATTTTGACCAACAAGAGAAATTTTAGTGATGGCATATCCATAATATTTGGCTGATCTTCCTTCTTCAGGCTTTTGATTGTTCAATTGTCGGGAAGATAAACTTGATACACAGTCAAATTCTACAATTTTAGCTAAAGCAACAATCAAAGAACTTAATTCGATGCTTGTTCTTGAATATCAAAAAAGACACTCCAAAAGTGAATTGAAAGGATGAAACTTTGTACCAAACGTTTGGGAGGCTACTTCGAACAAGTGGCATAAACGGATTAACATATGTTTTTTACTTTGAAACATTTGCAGTGCAAGAAGTTTCTTGACTGTTCGATGTAGTTTTATCTTTAAATTTCATCTTTTAACTCAGAGTTCAAAAAGTTTTCACTCGACAAAACCTTGAATTGGAGTCAAGTCAGAAGCATCGATCTCTCATCATGAACCTCTCTTCTTTTCGTCAAACATCTCTCTATTTCTTCAACATTACAGAGTTATCAAATCTTTTCTGAATGAATTTACTTTGAAGAATTTGCTCAATATATTAATTAGTTTCATTCATAATGGCTTACTTCTTCATCATTATATCGGAAGTATTCATACCATTTTACTGTTATTTTTTATTTTTATTTTTATTTTTATATTAAATTAGATGCGATACCATCATTCGATTGGTATAAATGAGAATAGAAATAAAAGTGTAATACAATATGAAAAACCGCTAAATAATTAAATGAATTCATAGAAGCTATAGGACAAAATCTGTATTAGAAAAGGAACTGAGACAGCAAATATTGAGAAAATGACGCAAATGTCAAATATACAGTATAAAAAACAAGAAAACAAACATGTGAAGAGTATCTCAGAAGTTCTGAAACGATTTTAAAATTCCTCGCTCTTGCATTCAGGAAAAGCAAACTCTTTGTAATTTTGTCAGATTATTATACTACTTAGTAATAAATAAACGTCAAGTTTTAGGTATATGGCTTTTACTATGGATGAGAAATTGTAACAATACTCTCATGTACTTTTTTTTTTACTCAACAACATCCAAGTTTTATCGAGAAGCGGTTTGAGTTCATCAGACTATAAAGTGGTAATCATCATAAGAAAATGTATTTTACTGATAACAGATATGTGAAATTCATTCGAACTATTGTAGAAGAAAAATCAGCTAAAGAATTTGATGATTCACGGAATGGAATTACACATGATGATCAAATTCATAAGCAAAGGATGCATGTGACTTTGGATACTGTTGAGCATAATTTTATCAATTGAACTGAACAAAAAGAAAACTATAGTTCAAAACTGATCAACATTTGACCTATAGAAAACATTTATAGTACATTAAAAGAAAAATTACGAAGGTAAGAATACAATAATACTAAATAATTGAAAAACAAGAATAGAGACGAATGAAAAAATTTAGTGTTCGCTTATACCAACGAATGATACATAAGATATCAGTACTATTGAAATTAGTAATCGATTATGTTGGCAATCAAGTACACAAAGATCAAGAAGTTGACAGATGTTTCTTTTTATTTTGAAAAAATTGTTCTGATTTAAAAATATTAAGTAAATAGATCGAGAAAATCGATCAAATAGTGCATGATAATGTTATTACAGTTTCTCATCCATAATAAAAATTATAGACATGAACCTTCGTCTTTATTTAGTACTACGTAGATACAATGATCTAGCAAAATTACAAAAAGTTTGGATTCACTGAATGCAAGAATGATAAATTCTAAAATCGTTTCAGAACTTTTAGGATACTCTTTATAATGGAATGTGTCAAAAAGAAAAGAATAAAATAAATGGAATGTTTTCGTCATATCAAGAAACTCACATATACAGCAAAACTACAGATCAGATTGTGGCTTACGATTACGTCCAGAAGTTAATTGCCTATGGGATCCATTCGATACGGTATATCCGTATTCATCATTGTATTGTTTATCTTCCACATCACCTTCATAGGGTGCTCGAAGAAATTGAACTTCACCAGCAAATAATCCACCTAATAGTTTAATAATAAATATATTTTGAACTTTAGTTTATTAAGAAATTCAAACTTACAAGCACCCAAAGCAAAAACAAGTGCAGCAAATTCAAACCAATAACTATACGATAAATAATTAAATTCTGGTCTTGGCATCCAAAGACGATCTTGACTATAAATCCCATAAATAATAATAGCAATGAGTTCAAAAGCAACTAAAAACAAAAATAGTAAAAACATGAACATAATTATTTAATTAATTCTTACATATAACAAAGGATATAATACACCAAGCTAACTGATATTTCCATTGCCAACGAAATGATGAAAAAACTGCTACAGCTAAACTTGAAATTGTCATTATTGTAAAAATAAATGCTAATGTAGCAAATGCTTGTACCCATTTAAACCAAGCTATTAAATAAAATTGAATTATTTTATTCAATTTCATAAAAGAATCTTACGTGGAATAATCCAATCACGAAAACGATACATTTCATTAGTCCAAAACCAGAAGCAACCAGTATAAGGAATTTGTAAATCATCTTTATAATGACGATATTTATATAAACATAATTCCCATAATCCAATGTTTTCAAAATCTTTTGGTGTGTCAAGATAACGTTTTGTCCAATAGGGTGATGCAAATGCTGTTATGCAACATAGAGTACTTATAAACATGAGGATTGATGCAACAAAAAAATAGGTCGAATATTCTGCACGTCCAAAAGGAAAAGTACCCATCTAGAAAAATAGAATACTAATTATCGATGTTATTTCATTATCATTATGAAATCTCACTGAGATTCTTATAAGTATTTGAAGTTATATTAAGCTTCGTTTAATAAAAAAAAATATTATATGTTTATTCAAAAGCGAAGTAGGAAATTGTGAACTCATAGTCTTATGTTCTCCACGGATAAAACTTCATATTGTAGATAAAAATGAAAATTTGATTTTTTTTAATTTTCTTTTTTTTTTGTCCAATAATTTTATTGTATTTAAGTGCTTTTCATTAAAGAATGTCTAAGACAAAAACAATTATTTTTTCCCTCCAGTACGTCGACGAACAGTTACCCAACCTTCTTCATCAACATCCATTGCTTGTGATTTCGTTCCATTCGTGGATTCTTCTTCTTCTTCTTCTCTTATTTCATTATTCCTTTCATTATCATCATCATCTTCGGACGATGATGATGAATCATTTTCATTTTCATTTCGGACAGACATTTGTATTGCTGGTGTAGTTGATTGTTGTAATTGTAATTCTTCTTGAACATCAACTAATTTACCTTCTTGAATAAGTTGAATATAACGAATAAATAATTTTGCTAATTCATTACTTGAACCATCCTCTAAAACTGTATTAAATTCTTCATCGAGTATTTCATCAAGATATTCTTGAATATCTTGTTCCAAAGCAGATATAGTTATTGATGGTCGAACATTTCGTGCAAGATATTGACCAAATGCTTCAATAAATGCTTCATATTTCACTTGACTTTCTGGACCACCCATTGAATGACTCACAGATATTTGTAATGCTGTCCATCGTGAAAAAACTGATCGAATAATAGGTAAAAGTGTTGAAAATAATGACATTTTTTTAATGATTTATATCACTAAAAACTAAGATTAAAAAAGATCCTTGACATTCTCCATTTAAAAATAATTTTCTTCTGCCTCTTTTCGTTTCATATGAGCGCTACAAGACATTTGTCTATTCAATAGATGTAATATAATTGGATTGGATCAAATCGATATCCATATGAAATCGATGTGTCAATATAGTACGAAGCAGCTGATGACGTTTTTTATTTTTCTTTAGCCATTAACTTATATTCAAACAATGTTCGACTGTGGTAATTGTTGTCAAGATCTTGATTTACGCGAACGTTTCAATCGAAATACGATTGCTTCAATTTTGGCCGGTGTTATTGTATGAAATGAATCATAATAAATGAATTCTCTTACTTTTCTTTTTCATATTTTAGTTTGCAATTGGTTGGTGGATAATTATTGATAGCACTTGCCAATATCCTTTGCAGGTTGATTTTAATAAGGTATTTTATATCATTGGTTCAGTTGGCACATTTGCACTGATCTTGTAAGTTTATATCGAGATATGCTCAATACATTATTATTTTTTTTTAAATTAATTTTCATATCAGGGTTAATTCTATATCCAATTCACAAGTTAGAGGTGATGGATACAGTGACAGTTGTGTTGGTCAAGTCGGTATGTTATTTTTTTCTTTTTTTGTTTTAATTTTATTATAGATACGTGATGAGAAATTTTATGTGCAGGTGCCCGTATTATTCTTTTCATTGCATTTTTACTTGCATTTGGTTCTGTAATTGGTGGTGCTTGGGTCTTCTTTGGCTACTATATACCGTATAAAAGGGATAAACTATATCCAGGAGTTGCTATATTCTGTCAGAATCTTGCTATTTTCATCAGGTTTGTTGTTGTCTTTTTTTTTCATTTTATTTCATTTTCATTTTCTATTAATTTCCTTTTTATTTAGCACATTGATTCTGAAATTTGGTCGCAAAGAAGATCTAAGCTATTAATTTTATTTAGACAACGAATCAAATAAAATATAATGACTATTCCTTGTAATTAGTTTCTTTTCTTTTTTTTTTGCTTTTAATGTTTTTTTCCTTGCGCATATATATATACATTATACATAAATATTTATTCTTGCAATTTTTTTCCTCTTGTGTTCATTTGCTTGATTTGTATTCATATACAAATATATAAATATACATATTGTTTCCGAAATACTCTAGTTTATAAGTATTGGCTTATTAACAAGAAAAAGAGACAAGATAATAAATATTGATCAATGATGAAACGAACCGATCATAGAATTGGAGCGATAATTGGTTTTGTTTAATAGAAAGATACTTTGTTCTTACGTGTCACTTGACTTTCTTTTATGCCATTTGGGAAATCAAAACCTGCATGCACATTCATATATATGTATATATATAGACTTTCGATTTGTCTAAAATTATATGTTGAACAAAATAATACACCCGAGAATGAAGACAACCGAATATAAGCGTGCGTGTGCCATTGCATCAACAAACAAATGCACACATCAATAATCTTCTAGCATTCGTCGCACACAACACTGCACTCACTAATTTGTCACGAGAGGAATCAGAGTTCTTTGTATCCTCTCCCTCTTTTTTCTTTTTTTCTTTCTTCTTTTGCTACTAGTGGGAGGTCTGTGCAGATTTAGACGTTCTTATGAGAGAGCTAAAGCCAAAATTGTTTATTCGACGCGTACTCTCCTTTTATTATCGTCAGTCGCTCCACTCATGTTCTTTCTTTCTCACTCGTCTTCAGCAAAAAAGGCAAAATGAGCCTCTTGAATTGCAGCCCACTGTACGTCGCCCGCCTCTCAATTAGCGTGTTAACAAGAATGAACCAGAAGAAGGACGAGAGAAAAGACTCATCGATAATGTGCATGTGCAGCTCAATATAGTTGAATAAGTAACTAGCCAACGGCAGCAACCACTGTTCTTTCCATGAATAAGGATGTCCTCTTATATTTACATATTGCTTGATATATTTGAAAGCGATGCTAGGACCATCATTGTTACTGTTCGACGGACAGTCCATAAAGTTGTTGTCAACATAGTATTTAGCGCTTTCTTTTCTTTTTTTTTCATGTTTGTTATGTGCGTTCATATACAAAATAAAACAGACATAAAAAAAAAATATAACAGAGTCGTAGAATACGACAAAATAATTTTGATCGATTCTCATTATCGTCGTCGCCATCGCATTATTCGTATTGCTGATGATTTCTTCGATGAACTACTGAAAGCAAGAATTGATTGACGAATCAAGGCTATTTGCTCTTTTTTTCTTTTTATATTTTGGAATAGCCTATCGATCAATGAAACATACTTGCGTATTCTTTTACTCGTCAACTACTATTGATATCGTAGAAAAATAGCAACAAAAAATAAAAAAAAACTGAAGATCTCTATCATCACAATGGTTTTCTTTCCTACTATATTGAGATCGCATGCATCGATGAATGAACGAACATTTAGTTCTCAGGAGATTTCGCTAAGGCAAAATAACATGGTCGTCGAAGAGGAAAAAAAAAGAATATTCTTTTGACAATCGGCAGCTAGTTGGTGACAATGTCGATTATCTTGTTATTATTTCTAGTGTCTTGTGTATAATAAGAGAAAATGCATTTGATTTTGATATGTTCTTATTTCTACAAATTACTCATCATAAATATACTAATATTAAAAGAATTCTTCTTGCCTGAAGTACTCATTGCCTTCACATACATACACTCAAATTTTTTTCTTTCATCCTTTTCTTCACGTTACATCCCTCTCTCTCCCTCACAGTCTCTCGTTCTCGACTTTTCATATAGTGCTATCCTTCCGTTTTTTTTCTTCTTCTACGGTGTTCTGACAAGAACAAGGTTAGAACGGATGTCAGTATCATTCAAGTCTAATTGGACTTTGTGTATGTGTTTACTTCTTTTCTTTTTCTCCCTTTTTTTTCAACTAAGTTGTCTTAGTCCAACTAAATCTCTTCTTATATAGACATCTCATCAAGGAGACATAATAAATTTGCGTGACTGACAGTTTTCTAATTTGAAAGTTTCTTTCTGATATTATATTATTTTTTAAGATTAGCTTTGTAAATATTTTTTCTTCATTTTGACGGTTCGTTCTTTTACGGAAATATGTATCTACATATATATTTATATATATATATATATATATCAATGAATGTCTACTTGTGTATAAAGATATTTGAATGATGAGAACAATTCCTTTGCTATAGTTTTTCTTCTTTCTTTCCAGGATCGACACATTGATTTTCCATTCTACTTTCTGTTCTGCTAGCATTACTCTCGTCGTCCTTCCGGGCGTGAAAAGCAGAAGAAAGAATAAATTCTTTCTCTTCTCTTACTTTTCTTTTTCTAGCAATTTTTTTTTTGACTATACTCTTGCAGTAACCGCGCATGCACGGCTCGACAAGATCTTTTCTTCTGTCTCTCCTTCTTTCTCTCTCTCTCTCTGTCTGTTCTATCGGCACCCTCGTCACTAACACTACCAACATTATTTTCAACCGCGACAATGTGTTACCATCACTTATTTGTGAACAAGAAAAGACAAGTGTAAAAATATTTGTATGTATCTATTTATCCTATCGACCTGTTTCTTATATTCAGAAAACAAAAAAGTATTAATAGATAAAGATAAAAACATTAAAAAAAAATAATAGTAGTAGTATGGATCAACTACCAGTCATAATAGTTTTATACGATACACCTGGAATATATATGTCATCAATTGTCATTATACATTTATATTTTATCATCTTGGATAATGAGTCCGAAGAAAAAGCTAGAATTTCTCATTCACACATGCATAAAGTCGTATATACGCAGACATGCAAAATAAATATGTAAACACACGTTTCCTTTCCTGACATACATCTGCATTCCTAGTAAAATGTAGAGAGTCTGGCATCGATCTTCTTCAAATTTGAATTTATAATATAAGATGACAGAAATCGACAGAGAGTAGCATTAGTCATATATTATTATTATTATTATTATTTTTATTACTATTATTATTATTATCATTATTACTATTATTATTACTTTTATTATTATCAACAACATCATCATGATCGTGGTCACCGTTTCACAGAATCATCGGTCGATGATTATCGCTGTTCGTGTATGCACAATAGGATAAAATCGCTTAATGTGTTTATAAAAATGGTTTTTTCATCTGTGCGCAGGCAAGCAGGCAACCTAAATCGATGTCTATGTTTTGTTTATTTGTTTGTTAGGTTAACCCGAGATATACTAAAAAGGAAAAAAACGAGATACTCGTTCTTTATGATCATCTTTCATCTTTGTCGTCTTTGATAGACAAGAAAATGACGGCTAAGAATGTATAGAATTTGCTGCGATAGAATACTAATACGTATCACCATAAGAGAATATGAATATACCGTCTAAAGTCGAAGCCTTGCTATGTAATCAAAATAACTCGTCGACTCATTATCATGATTACTTTCAGAACGGGTTAGAATAAGACGGACGACCATATATACATATCCATATACATTTATATATATAAATATGTGCAGCATTAACGATAGCAGGCAACAGTAACATCGATCTATCAGTATGTTGTCATAATAAACGAGCAGAAACTGAGAATATGCAGAAAGATAGGAATATGAGAGATCTGTAAATGATTTTGCTACAAGGACAAATAATCGAGATGGACATATAGCTCTAATATATAAGCACATATGCTGTGAATCGTATTGAATAGGAAAATTAACAATGATCGTATGTGTCGATAGGTAAGATATATAAATGTGTTCTTTTCATCGTATAAACAAATCTATAATTTCAGAAATTTATTTTCTTTTTTTATGTTCGTCATACTCACGTATGTAGAACTATTAGAATAAATATGATTCCTTCTGAAGATAATGTAAAAGAAGTTCTCTTTTTCGTATATATCTATATGTACATATATACTCAATAGAAGAATATAATGGACAATTATATAATTTATTGTTAGACGGAATAGCCAAGGTGTCATTGCTAAGATAAAAAAAGAAATAGACGTCTATCATCGCTATGATTTGTACGTTATCTTATATATTATTGTTTTATTTTAGATGTTAATTACACAATAGCGATTTGTCATTGATAGTCATCATGTTACTAATTGCAATTATAATTGGAAACAACTAGGATCACAACAGATATACATCCGATGTAGGATGGTGGTATGGCTTCGGCCTGAGTGCATTCTGGCAATTGTCACCAGTTTGTACTATTGTTGTCAATTAGGTATGTGTCATAAATGTCTTACATTATAAAAATAAATCTTTCAATAAAATATCTATCATCAAGGAAAATTTTCTATTTTTTTTCGTTATTAGTAATTATTTTCAAAATGTCATCATGCTATGCATGATCTTTATTTATAGTCATGATGATATGTTGTCTTCAATGACATTGAAATAGTAAGATGAAAAAGTAAATATTGATGAGATTGAGAAATCCTGTCTTGACGAACACTTATATGACATCCAAATATATATATATATATATATATATATATATATTTTCTGTATAAATATAGAACTTCGCCAATTAATATTCATTTATCTTCATTATTGACGAGTAAAAGTCATTCAACAAAAGCTTTTGCTTATCTACAGAACAATTTATTTTCGATTATATGATAAGATCAGTTTAGTTCCCCAAGGATAAACATAGATTTTTTTTTCTTTGTTGTAATAGACATTAATTAACATTTAAGAATAATACAAAAAGAATTATATTTTTTTAAAGTTTCATCGAAAACATATGATAAATTTTGGTGTGCAACCGAAGAAGGTCATCATCAATTATCTTGTCCAGATGAAACAGCGTTATTAACTGAAGTAACAATACGTAAAGTTTATCGTCGTACACAAATGTGTGCACCTGATGTACATTCAGACTATCTTATTCATTGTCAAGAATTAATTGATGGATCATTATGTGAAGGAAATAAAACATGTTCAATTGAAGTATCTAGTCGAAATTATGTACAATGTGAAGATAAAGCTTATGCACCAACATATTTTTTTGTGAAATATACTTGTACACAAAGTAAATATGAAAGAAAAATAAATAATACAAAAGTTGTCTTTTTGTTTTAATTAGTTTATACAATGTGTCATGATACGGCCCCTATCCGAAATACGCTTTATGGATTTATTGTTTCACCAGCTTATCCTCATCCAATGGCAGATAATTTAAAATGTTCTATTAATATCGGTATGATTAGTTTTTTTCCTTCATTAAACACAATATATATTTCTTTCGCATCTTTAGAGGCGGGTCCATCAATGTATATTGAATTAGCACCAATCCAAATACGTTTACAAGAAGCAATTAGATGCCGATCTGAATATTTAGAAATTTTTGGATATATTAATTCACTAAACAATAATTCCTTTTCTGATGATATAACATCAAATAAAAATTCTAAAAATATTTGGAAATCCTATTATACATGGTGTGGTGCTGAACATTCAACAAATAATCCATTATCAAATGCACGTTATCTTATTTCGTCCAATTCATTATATATATCATTACAAACATCTGCATCAAAAAAAACAAGATATTTTAAGATACGATATAAAGGTATATAGACTACTATTATTAGAATTAATTATTATTAATATTAGGTTAATAGAAAAAAAAAGACATATGATCATCTATTGATAAGTTTTAATTTACGTATTGAAAATTAATTTTTATTTTTCTAGTTGTTCCATCAATAGCACGTCCACAATATAATCACGATGGTATTGCATATGAGCCAGCATCTGACTCATCAATACATTCTGTTATAAAATCAACAACTGTTCTATCAACAACAATAGCTATACCAGTAATTGAAGATCATAATATGAAAAATTTAAATGGAACAGTAACAAAACGAACAATGAAAAAAGGTACACAAGTAAACATATTTTTTCTTTTTTAAATAAAATAATTTTTTTTTTTTTTTGTAAAGAAATTATTATCGGTGTTATTGCTGGTATAATTGTTCTTGTTATTGCTATAGCTGTTGGTATAGGTATATTCCTTTGTATTAAAAAGTAAATTTTTTTCTCAATATAAAAAAAAAATAAAATGTTTCCTCATCATAATATTTTTAATTCTTTAGACGTCGACGTCCAACTACAACATCAAAATCTACTACATCACCATCATCAACTAATACGGGAAAAAAAAATATTTCACCTACAACATCTACAAATAATGCAGCATTAAAATCAAGTACAAAAACAATGGATAAAACTCCACTTCTTGAACAACCAACTAATATAACATCGGCAACAACAACAAAACGTAAATTAGTACCTGAACGAACAGTACAAATAGCTGATGTTAATAGTTCTCGTTTTAAATCTTCTCCTGGAGCAACAACACCAACACCAACATCAACAGGTCATACAGGAACAACAGGTAAAGAAACAAGTTCAACAAGTTCAGAAGCTGTTGCTACATCATTAGTACCATCAACACTTAAACCACCATTAACAGCAGCTGATAGTGGTATTTATGGTGCTGATTTAAATGATGATGTACAAACTGTACCTAAGCCAACAATTTTATCAGTTGCACCACCAAAAATTTATGGCATTGATTTACCAGATAAATCAGATTTAACTCCTCCTGTAACTGTTGTTATTAATCCACTCAGTGAACATTCAACAACTACTCCTACAAATACAACAAATGAAACAAATGCAACAAATACAATATTATCTGCTATTGTTGTTCCAAATAAAACTACAATAGATGTATTACAAGAAGAAAAAGACGTTTTATTAAATCCACTTGTAAATGATAAACATTTTGATGAAACAGTTAAGAGTGCCTATTCAAATTTAATTGATGCAACAATGAGTGAAAATGAAGGAACAATTGGTGGTGGATCAATAGCTAGTAGTGCATCTCAATCACGACGAACATCAAATGTACGACAACCATTACTTTCACATGAAACAAATAATATTGAAACAATACCACGTAAAACACAATTCAATCCATTACACGTGATATTAAAAAAAGATGCCAATAAATATTATACAACAGAATATATTTAATAATTTACAAACAAAAGAAAAATAAAAACAATATAATTTTCTTTTTTTGTGTCTTTTTATTTATGTTTAACTGATATATTTCAATGTATTCTTTTTTTTTCTTTTGCAAAACAATAATGACAGAAGACAAATCTTGTGTCAAATAGATGTTATTAGTGAGATTGTTTGTACTGTCTATGACAAAATTATTATTTCGATAAAAGAAAAAAATCATTAAATTTCATTATTAAATTCTGTAACAAATACATCGAGATTATCAATAGATACAAACCAAATCTGATCAAATGCGTATCGTATAGGTTTTCCAGAATCCATTAATGGTTCATTTAATATTGTTGAAAATAGTTCAGCTATCATTTTCATATCATTGGAAAATGCACCAGTACCAATAGGTCCTAATAATAAATATGTATCTTTACCATTTCCTTCAGTATTAGCAACAGCTGATGCTATGATAGCTTGAAATTTTTGATATGTACGAGCACGTAAATCGTCGATTTTTTCATGTGATGGTGGTTTATATAAACCTTCACCCATACCAGATAAATCATAACCTATGAAAAAAAATAAACTACATTTGTTAGGAAAAAAAAATATTTAAGATCTATGCTTAGTTTAATAATGTTTAATACTTTTTACTTAGCGTTTATATATTTTATTAAAAGAAAAAAATCCAATTCAAATAAAGAAAGTTCAAAATCTTTTTATCAAAAAAAAGAGAATTGAATGTTTTAGTCACAAATAGATTGAATAGTTTGATTTTAAACGTTTATAAGAGTATCGATTATTTAGATTTTTGAAAAATTTGAATATTCATCCATTTCTGTAAAATATAAGTGATTATGTTGATTCTTACATATTAAAGAGTGATGACTTTATCATCAATAAAAACAAAAAATTATGACATACATTCTCGATGCCAAGAAAGAGACAAAAATGAAAAATGTATGGTTTTTTTTCTAATAAATTGACTTTTATAAGTACTATGTAAGGAGGGAAAAAGTGAAAACTTTACACTTCAGTGTACCTCAAGAGTACATCAAAGTTATCCTCTAGAATTTTATACTTATTTTAAATACACTATGAATGAGTGTTATGAGCATATTAGTTTGCATATATTTTTGATATAAGTCTGTCTATTAATATAGCCCAAATATTTCATCGTACTTCACTAATACTCAAATCTTGAAGTACAATAAAGTATTCGGACTTTATTAACAGGAAGACTTATATCAAATGCACTCAAACTAATATGCTCGTGACACTCGTTCATAGTAGACTTGAAATAGCTATAAAGTTCTAGTGGATAACTTTAACATACTCTTGAAGTACTGAACTTTCATCGTTTTCCGCTTGATGCTATGTTATTTTTTAAAAGCCTAAAGATATTGAACTTTTTCAAGTGATACTTCAAGACAGTTTTTATTAATATTTTTTTTTTTCTTATGAATACATATACGTAAATAAATCAACTCATATGATCAATTCGTAGTTCAAATATTCAATTTTCTTTCGGGTAAAATGGTTTTGGAGTTATTTTGTATGTTAAAAAATTGATTTTTTGAAATTAGAAATGGCACATTAACTTTAACATAAGATTCAAAGTTAAAGTAAGCAAAGTTTTTTTTTTTTGGTTTTCCATAATGGATGATGTATAGACTTTTAAAGCTGAGGATTAGCTAAGATAGCTGAGAAAAGTCAAGCTTAAAATTTTTATTAACAAAAACAAAAATGCTACTTTTCAGATTTATTTACTTTAATTTTCATTTATTTTGTGGATACATAACTTTCTATAGAATTCAGATGAGACTAAAAACATTTAAAAATTAATAATGAATAAGAAAATAGCAAATTTTCTGTAAAAAATATTATAAGTGACATATCTATTTGAGACTCAAAATGTTTCATCATCGGAAGGTACAAGACTCATGCTATTTTACCATAGTGTTCCTCAATTGAGTTTCCTTGCCCATTGTTTTTCTTTCTTAAGACTACTTCAGCTTGATTTGTTTTTTGATAATTAATATATAGCGAGAAATTACAGACTTGACCCTGCATTACTTGATATATTAATCATGAATCATACATAAAGTTCAAAGGACAAAAAAAACATACCATAGTCTCCTTTATTTTCGTACGGATAAACAAAAATTACTTCAATTATATTGTCAGATTATATATTTAGATACAGAGATTGATAAATAAAATGAATTTTTGAATATTGAGACAACAATTAATGCAATATATATACCAGAGTTAAGCTTTATCATATTACAATCATTTATATCAGTTAAGTTTCTCAAAGATGAGTGTGTGATAATTCTATATCTAGCACGAAAAAAAGAATCATTTATCCATGAAATGATTGCTGAACTTCAAATCTTGAATTTCTCACTTAGACTTTTCAGATAAGCCTAACGTTGCTCTTTAAACGACGATCCAAAACCTAAATTTAATCTTTACTAAAACATATATGATATAAGTTAAGTTCAAGTAACATAGTTTTAATTGAGCTTTTTAAAAAAAATGAAATATACTTCGATTAAGAGAAAAAAAAACAGTATGAACGAACAGAAGAAAATAAAACTAATAGTTCTTGAAACAACACAGTTTGATTATTTTTATATGAACAAATAAACTTGCTCTCAAGAAATTTTCTCAGAGAAAAATGAAATATATATAAAAAATATTTTCTAATCGGTAAAAACCGATGAAGACTGACCGGATCAGTTACAATTCTGATATATATTCATGCATACAAAAATATATAATCGTTTTTTGTAATGTATTTATTGTTCTCTAAGCTTTATGTTTTATTCATGATTAATGTATCAAGCGAAACAGTGTGAAGTCTATACTTTCATGATATATATTAAATTATGGCAAAAAAAGGGTATCAAACTGTAGTATATTTAAGCAAGACAAGAAAACGAGAGAGAAAAATTCAATTAATCTGTACAATAATTCAAAACACTTACAAGCAGCAACTATTAAATCTGTAATACGTTCTTTTTCAGATATTTCTTGGAAAAATCGTACTCGTTTTATATAAGCTACACCATATTCAGGTACCATATAACCTCCATCCATTATTTGATATTTGAGATCTAATATTGCATGATAACCATCAGAATTATATAGAATAACCTAAAGTATGAAATGATACAAAAAGTAAATTTTATATATTTCACAAACTTCTTCTTGTGTTCGAGCATTCTCAAGAAAATAACCACCTGGCATACGTTCATCAGCAAAATCAAGAACAATAACTTGTTTGTCTTCGGGAACTTGAAAAACAGCATTTTCAATGCCAGTTTGAATAAATTGTATTGTTCCAGAATTTTTACGTTTATCAACAGGTGATTTTAATAGAGCATTATATGTATCACTATCTGTTACTGGATTAAAACGGTCATTTTTATTTAAATCTCGAATTTGATCATAATTCCAATATAGTTTAAGTTCATCTTTTTGAAAACCATCCTGACGATATTTTGATATATAATTACGTGATTGCATTGGACCTGGTCTATTTACTTCTTTCTTTAATTCCCAATAAGTACCTAAATTTTCAGCACCATATTGTTTTTGATATGGTTCAATTATATTTTTTAAATCGTTATAATTTTTTTCAATATTTGAATAATCAATTTTCGATGAACATTCATTTATTAAACGAATTGTTTGTTCATTATTGGGTACATTATACATTGATAATAAAAAATAGAGCATTGTTCGACGACTGTGATGATAATCATATCGTCTTTGAGTTTCATCATCATTTAACAATGGAAAAGCGACACCAAGTATTGATTGTATATCAATTTTACGTAGAGCATGTAAAGGAATATATGCTTTTGAATGTGTCATATTATATTGAATAAGTCGTTGAGAAAATGATAAAAATATTAATGATCTTGCAAAAAAAGATATATGTGTATGACAATAAGACGATAAAAAAAATGTCATTGATTATTGGTTGATAAAATCATATTGTTGATGAACGTGAAAGATATTTATTCGTATGGTTTATTTTGTTTTAGGTTGAGGCTAACTATACAATAGAATGAATGAACTCTATGCGCTCAATCTTCTTGATTGTGGTTGCTATAGGTATGAAAAAGAAGTAAACAAAAAATGTTAAGAGCTGCAAAAAAAAAAGATATATGTACATATTTATATAAAGAACGTAAATAGGAAAGGATGGTGGCGCTATTATTCGTTTGTGTACTAATCATCATTAAATAACATCAGCTGTACGAATAGAAAGAAAAAAATCTTTTTCAATAGCATTCAATACATTTTTTCTATTTATTAAGCGTCTTTTTTTTATATTTTATGTCTCATTAATTATATTTAATAATAATGATTCTTTCAATATTGAATGAGCAATTATAAACATTGTATTTTATTTATCAATGATTTCAATTAGAAATAATAATCATTCTTTTCGTTGTAGATCAAAATAATTATACAAATGAAACTAACTATATATATATATATATATATGGAATAATTGATTATATAGATTGACAAATAAATCTTATCTAGGAAGTATTCAATAACTATATTTTTATTTTTGATATAGGTTAATCTATTTTAGACTTCATTGGTGCGTTTTTATCAACTCATATTAGTACTACATTTCTTCTATATTGTACCTGGAATTGTTCGATCGTTTTTAGTTATTAACAATTATATAGATGCGATTTGTGCGACATCTGCAGTTTTCTTAGATGAAATAATCAATATCCAATTTTCTTTATAATTGTATATGCTTAAGACTTCGATGTTGGCTAGTAATGTGTTATCATAACTTCAGTTCTTATTGTTGTTAAATCTCTTTCAATGAAAAAGAAAATCAAATTTTGAATCATTGATTTTTTGCTAATATTCGTTATAAATTTTTTCAAAAAAACATCAGCTGTCAATATATAAATATAAAATGTCACAGTAAAGCTAATATTAGTCAGTACAAACACACGAGTCGAATAAAATCTGTCCAGAACTAATTGAACATTTGATTTTGTCCATTGAATTGTAACAGTTGAATAAACTAAATACATTAGAAACGGTAAACATGTAATAAGATAAACACCTAATTGAACAAGTATCATGATGAGTATTTTATATTCTCTAGATTTTGTATTAATTCTGCCTTGTCATTGATTGACAAATATTCGATTCATATTGACTTGAGCAATAACACGTTGTCGACTCAAATTAATATTTCGAATAATTAAAACAACCCGAAGATAATCATTAGAATCGGTGTCAAAAAGTCGGATAAAATTGTACTATAAATATTGAATAAATGCATAATATTACCACACATCGACCTATAAAGTTAAGAGAATAAAATCGATGGTTGATTAGAAGAAAAAAACAACACTCCTTTGCAAAAATCATGAAACAAACAAGAAAGTATATTACAATTACAAAAGGCTCATTATATTACTAACTAAGAATATAACAAATAATTTTATCTATTAAACTTGATCAAAAGATCCGATACTCACCATTAACAATGGAGTGATTTGATAGAATATGAAGAGAAATAATACACCAACCGATATTCGCACTAAAGGTATAATCATTTTAGCAACTTTTATTCGATTAAAAGCTCGACATTTGACACTTATAGAAGTCATTCCTCATCGATCTAAACATGCTAATACAATATAAATTCTTGTTAACAATGTAGTTACATGAGAAATATATTGTCGAAATCTATAGAAAAATAATAATGCTGTTGTTGGATCAATACTAAAACCAAATGCTTGCATATGAAAAAAATTATAATATTGACAATGAATAAATTAGTAATCGATGAAGGAAGAATATAACATGAATATGAATTTTGTAGATAAACTCGTTGAATTAAAATTAAGATATTGAGAATTGATCCAATATTTCCAAGGCTAAAAATAATTGAATATAAATAACGACCTATATTCAATTAAATAAGATTGAATGTAACCGATGACTACTGGATCCACTGGTTTTACTGTTACAAATATGTTCGACATATTATTTTAAAACTCTATCAAGCAAAATAACATGAATAAATTATAAATGAATCTTCATATGTAAAAAAAATTTTAATAATGCTGTTAAACGTTTTTCCTTAATCTTTTTCTTTCTAAATAGAGAATGTCACAGACAATGAAATATAGGTTAAAATTTATTCATCTTTCAAAAGAATCCCACGTATGAATGAATAAAACATGCAAAGAATCTAATTCAATATGAGAAGTTTAAATTTTTAATTTATATACTAGAACAATAAAAGAAAAATTTCTGACAATAATATAGAGTTTATACAATCCAAGAACAAGTATACGTTATGTTATTCTTCTTCTTCTGTATTCTGTCATATTTTCTTATGATTATTCTGGTTGTTTGAAAAAATGTGTGAATTCTACGAAGAGAAAATACAGATATTTAGAGTAAAATAATTATTTAAAAAGTAGCAGTAGTTCATGAACTCTTTTCATTATTATATCGATTTTAGTATGAAAAATAAGTTACTTGTGAACCTCTTTAGTGATCACGACATAAATTAAGAAGATAAAAATTGTTTCTTGCAATGATAACTTAATCTTTATATATAAAGCTAATTGTAACGAAGTGTTGATGAAAATAGTAAGTTATAAAAATACATCTATAATTTGGACATAAGTTGTTAAATAAATCTGCTATTTTATCGGTGATTATTACATAAAGAATCACTATGTTATTCATATATCAGAATATCTCAAATGAGCATCTTAAATTGATTGAATAATATGAGATTTAAAAATTAGCAAATAAAAGAATGTTATTTTTTTTCAAATAATGTTCCTCATGAACCTGCAAAGGTTAATATATTGAAGTGATCATAAATGATGTGATTTGTGTTTTCTTTTTTGAAAGTTTTAGAAAATATTGCGATATTTTTATCAAAATATATTGAAATATCTGTTATTTATATTACAATAATTCGTTTAAATTAAGATTTAATAAATATACATGATGACAGTTGATATTATTATTTTTTTGTAGATACAAATTACGGACATTTGAATGTGATTTTTAATAAAATTTTCTAATAGACTTTTGCTTCTAAAGGATAGGCCAAAAGTTTCTAGACAAAATATTTGACTATTTTTTACGTATCTCAATGCATTGGAAACAAGTGAGAAGTAGTGTGTTTGAATCGGAATTTTTTTCTCTTTCAGAATATATGCTTAAAATTTTTCTATAACTTTCGACTATTGAGCTATAAGTAAATCTTGATAGGATTCAAAAAAAATTTTTTGACAGGCAAAAGTCTTGTCTCTTCTTGCAGATATCAAAGGAGTTCTATAAAGATATAGGGTGTTTCGTAAGTCGTTAGCCACAGAAAAATTTGAATATCTCCGCCATATTTTGACCAAATGAGTTAGTATTTCTACCACTGATAGAGGAGTATTCATAGCTCATGTTCATAAGAGAAATGTTGTTAAAAATTGTTTTGAAATGTTTATAACTGATTTTAACAAAGAACCGAATCTTTTACGAGCTTTGATAAACTAATGTTCTAGTTTTATCAACAAATTCTTGTTATTTAAAACTGAAACTTTCACAGTATACTGAGTAACAGAATGTGCATCTGTAGTATAAATATGAAACCAAATAACATTAGTGTGGAGAATTAATTGAAAAAAATGATATACCTTTTATTCTCGGCTAAGAGAATAAATCCATTGGTTTTTCATAGCTTGTTAAAAGTTAAATACTTTGTTAGAGTCTATTGTAAACACTTCAAAACAATTTTTAACAATGTTTCTCTTATAAATATGAGCTATGAACACTTCTCTATCAGTGATAAAAATATCAGCTCATTTGATCAAAATATGGCAGAGATATTCAAATTTTTCTTTGGCTAACGACTTACGGGATATCCTATATCTTTCGCCTTCGTCAGTTCATTTACTATAATAATAGATTTATATTTTGACTATATAGGACAAATATGTTTATTCTCTTTTCTTGTTTCTTTTTTTTTTTCTAAAAATGAAATAGAATGATAAGATTGTAATACTGTTCGATAAAACTTTTGTGTTTTCATCCTCTGTTCTACTATAACAGAAAAAAAAATGTAGAAGAGGATAAACATATACGGATCATACATAGTAAAACCTATGGCTTCACTGTGAAAAGTAAATGAACTGATGAAGGAGACAAATGTTTTCGAAAAAGTTTTCAAATTTAATTAATTAATATCTCAAATAAATTATCATTTAAATAAGGAGATACTTTATATTTAATTAAATAATTAAAAAAAAACAAACATTTAATGAACTTGTTTAATTTGTGTAATAACATAATCGTTTATAGAAAGAGAGTTTCAACTCTATTTTTGGCATACGAATCAACACATGCATTATCAACATCGTCATACATTAATAAAATATTACAAAATTGCTTGTTTGAAAAAACAAAAATGTAAGTCAAATGATGACGCACTCTGAAAGGTCAATAAAAGACTGTTTTTTTGTAATATGTTATAATATAACTCGAAAAACTTTGTCTTTTCTTTTTTTTCCTCTTCCTTAATATAATCAAGGTTCGGAGAGAAAAATATTCCTGGGAGAGATTATAAAAAGTTCAAATAACGATTCGACTGTCATAAAATTATTATTTTTATAGTAAAAGACGTCATTTTTTTGATCAACATTTTCATATTCTTCACGTTTTGTCTCATGAGAAATAAAATATATAATTATAATTATGAATGTATTATTCATAAGTTTATGATTAGTTTTATTAATCAAGAACAATGATGAAAATTTTTATTTAGTTTCTAACAATTTAGATGTTGATGAACGATTTTGAAATTTATCGAAAAGTTTTTCGTATGCTTGTTGTAACGTCATACTATTGATTTCAAATTCATTTTGACGTTCGAGAAATAATTGTTCAACTTCATACAAAATGTTTGACATTTGTTGTGATAAGTTGGAAAAATTTTTTAAACGTTCATCATCACTTGATAATACTGTATATCGTCCAATACTAGCAATTTGATCAAGTACATATCGATTTAATATATCCATATGAATACTTGATAATTGATAAAAATAATAAGCATTATTTTCAATGTTATATAAGATTGAAATAAAACGAATAATTTCATCATTAAGAAATAAATTTAAGTTTTCTTGAATATCAATATTATTCATTAATTGAACAATTTGTTCATATTGTTTTTTCATTTGTTGTATTATTATAGAAATTTTTTCAAGAATATTTTTTGAATTAAATTCATTATAAAGTATTAAGTCAGTTTTATTTGAAGAATAATTATTATATGTTAATGATAAATCTATTGTATATTGTTTGATTTCGTTAACAAAATTGAAAAGATTAGTTAATTGATCTATAGTTTTATTGAGTAGAATTTTATTTTCATTTGAAATACGAGCAATATTATTGATAATAGTAGGTAACATTTTTTCATTCATTTTAGATGAACCTGCAGTAATAAGTTTTAATATTGTTTTAATATGATTTGGAATTCGTTTAACAGCAAGTTGAATATGATACATTGTTGAATAAATATCCGAAAATATTTTTTGCATATCTGAACTAAATTGTATTGTTGTTGTACGAAATGATTGAGGATAACGAATATAATTTAATTTAGAATCTGTTGGAATATTAAATGGAAAATCTCGTTCACTGGCCATAATTGTTAAAGCTGATTGAAAATGAACAAGAAAAATAGAGTTGGTAATCAGTTCTTTTGCTAATGATAAACTATTCAATTCTATTTTTTGCATAAAGATAAATATAATATTTTTAAAAAAATCATACATAAGTTATACTTACGGGATTTAAATTGAACTTCTTTTATGTCATTTGCTAGAACTATTTTATTCAGAATAGTGATAATTAAAAGATATGAAATATAACAAAAACCTAAATTACATTCGTAAAAAAAAATACGTAATAATTTATGGATGCTAACCTGTATACATTATGTTATGTGTTTGAAAACGAAGAAAACAAAAATCCGAAAAATTTCTTGATTCTTCTACGCAAAAAAGAAAGTCTATTCACTTGCTTAAGTAATCACAGGTTTTTAAATCGATTTTTAAGTCGTTTTCGTCGATAAATAATTGTGAAAGTTAACAGCTGACATATGTTTTGTTTTTTAAAGGATTAGAAAAATATTTTCTTTTATCATTGAGAATATTCGTAGAATATGAAAATAATATTTATTATTTTTTGATCGATAGAGAGAATCAAATAATTTAATTTCATAATTGATAAGTACTTTCGATGAAAAATATGTGAGAATTATTTGTGCCGGCTAAATCAAAAGGATTGTAAAATTAAGTATTTTGTAAATATTTCAACACAAACACAAATCCTATAAAATTGAGTTTTGTTTTTAAAAGATATATCGTCAAATTCTCTACAACAATGACAATGAAAAAAATCCTATTGAATTATTTTAATGATCTTTCTTATAATAAGGCTAAAATTCAAGCACTATGTGATGGTCAAATGTCCGATTATTTTGAGAGGAAAAGCATT